TTTTTATCCTTCCTGACTTTACTGCGCACACGATCTTTCTTTGACTTCTTTTTCCGTCGATCATCATCATCGCTATCATCATCACTGCTAGACTCTCTTCCACTGCGTTGTTTCTTTGACCGACCCATTCTTTGACCATATATAATATATAAAAGATATTATTTTATCTTTATTACTGATACCTTTTTCTTTTTCTCTTCCACTACATGGGAGGTCTGGATATACCATCCTGTGCTGATCTCATATGCTCGCTGAATTGTTGCCCAGTTTGTTCCGCGAAACTCTTGGCCTCTTGGTTGATCGAAATACCTGCTTCTTTACCACGGTGTAGATACTCCATAGCCTCGCGTTGCCATTGTTCAACAGTCTGCCCGATTGCCTTGATACGTTCGTCCCGCTGTGCGCTATTAGCATGTGTTCGTTTCTCGTAAGGATTGCCGCCAAACATTTCCGCATAATCCTTCATACCTGCCTGTGTCACACGCTTTAGCCTGTTAGTTCCAGTACCTCTTGGATCTACCTGCATGGGTGTTTTAGCTGTCGCAGGAATCTTGGCATAGAAAAAGTTAGCTGCTCGTGTCATAGATTCACGGTCATCAGGACTAGCCATAGGTTCGTAAGGTTTTGTGATCCGTACATTGATTGACATTATATGATGAAACCTAGACGCACGCACACTAACTGCTATAAAAGTAAGCTGTGAAAATATTTTACATTACATCTTTATTTGTATTTTGGTATTATTGATATTATTGCTGGCGAGTACCGCCGGCATTTGTTCCGTTACCATACCCGACAGCAAACTGTTTGGTATTTCCCCTGGCACTGTTCATCACATCAGGTTTGTACATGTTAGTATTCTTTACTTTGTTGAGACGTACTTCTGCGTCTACAGCATCAGCGATCGCGTCGGCCTGTTCTTTCTGCACCTTTTCCACATACTCGGAATCGTACCGGGTACTTTCCTCATCGAACTTGTCCAGCGTTTCCTTAAACTTGTCAAACACATCATCTGGGGTCAAATCATCACCAAGTACACCATTGTAGTAATCGTCTGTGGACCAATCCGACACGTCCCACAGCATATCATTATACTGCTTGATAGACCCTGGGAAATCTTTAAAAAGACCTCGCAGCCTCATTTCTCCGTTTACCATGACCTGTTCAAAGTCGTCAATGTCTAAACCGCTGTCAGCCCAACTAGGATCAGATGTAAAGCTCTCCACAGATACAAACTGTGTTTCCATAAACAAGACCATAAACTGTTCGAGTGGAACGATATTTCCATTTGTATCTTTACGTGTAAACGTAGTGGCTGTAGCGATGTCGCTTGACTGTAGCCCCTTTATCTGAGCTGCCATCGCCTCCGAACCAAACTCTTCTTCTGTATGCTGTTTGAGGTACCATACTTGACGCTGCTGTATTATACGAACTCCGTCACGTGATTCACGTATCCGTGTAAACTGTAACTCTTCAAGCTGACGTTTTAGCCTTTCCATACCTTCTTTACCCCTCACACTCCCTGGTAACGAAACACCGTCTACCATAAATTCAGTTGTATAGTAGTTGTCGATTTCACTCTGTATCTGTTCTACCTCATTTGCGAATATATATTCCTTTCTAAACATATCATACAACTCTTCAGTAGACTGGAACCTAAAGTCAGTGGGGAAACTAAAGGTTTTCTCTATACCGTTTGGTGACGTGTACTGGAAACTGTAGCCGTTATCATCGATTCTGTATGCCTTGAGATCATCACCTTCGATTTTCTTAAAGGATTCGGTGTATGGTGTACCCACATACACGTTGCCCTCGTCACCGTGTTTGTAGTGGTGCCAGTTTTTATCTGTAAGTTCTCCAATCTCCAGCAACTCCCCTGAAAATAGCCGTTCCTTGATTAGCTCGACAGTCCTTTCCAAACCATGCTTATCCCACATTTTGTCAATCTCGCTCCATAGTAACTGGAACCCGATACCTGCATCAGGCATTAAAACACGTGTCTGATCCACCAGATCCTTTAACACCCCGCGCTCCTTATTTCTCCGAATAAGACCCCCGATAAAGGCGAAAGCGATAGTTGTAAGCACGCTAACTACTGCAGAGATAAACAGACCAACAGGTCCACCGAAACTCCCTGTCAACAACAAGGTCGAACCCAGCTCGATACCCAGATCAACTGCAAACTCCTTGCCTACATCCCCCCAATCTATTGCGACTTTCATAATGAATGTATTCGATTGTCTTTATTGCTGGTTAAATAGTTACATTAATACGCGTAGATTTTTTCTTGCAGCATGTCTAGTACCCTACGGCGTACCTCTTACGGTTAATATCTAGTGCGTTAATGTTGCTGCTATTGGCCTGTCCCATGTGTGGCACACCGCCGCTCATCTGGTCGGCAGCTGTAGTATTGATATTGTTATTCACAACTACACTGTTATTATTACTAGCGGCACTGGGGACGCCATTACCATCTCCCTCCTCATCATCACTACCTCCACCTATTCCCATAAACCCGCCACCACCGCCGTCCATTGCATCCAAAATCATAGGTGCCCCCAACGCCCCTAACCCTCCGATAGCCAACCCCTTCTGTACGTCCGCTTTACTTTTTTTCTTCCCGGTCTTTGCAGCGCTCATGTCTAGACCGGCTTGTCCACTAGTTCGTTTTCCCTTAACTCCATCAAGCTTTAGACGACCTGCATTA